AAATTTGCAGTTATTATGAAGGAGATGAGACAGATTAAAAGCCCTTGTGTTCTGCGCTGCCCTTTTATTTAGTGGCTTCATCTCCGAGATGAAAGAAGTTGGAAATGACTTTCTCCGTATTTTGCTGCAAGAAGCTTCACGGCACATTTTTTGACTTTATTCCTCCCTTTGTCTCTTGTCCCCTTTCTGTCTCTCTTTTTCCTTTTAACCCCTGGAAGGTTTTACTGAGAAGCATCATGGGACCATGCAGAGTATTTGCTTGGGTCGGGCAACAACCCCTTCACTTTTCCTATCAGGCCGTACCTTTCTCTGTGCTCGCTGGAGAAAGAGCTGGGCAAAGAGACAGCAAGGACTGGGCTGGCAGGATCCAGCAGAGCTTCCTCCCCTGCTCCTCACTCTGGAAACGTCCCTAACAAGTAGCCTCACCTCTCCCCTGTCCAGCTCCAGCAATGGGTCAACTAAAGTGGGGTAGGTGCTGGCAACATCAGCAATGCTACCTCTGGCAGGAATAAAACAAAAACCAAAAAGGTATGTACAAGGGCCAGGAAAGGGTAAGAATCCAGTCAGGGAAGAGTGCTGAACATCTGATATACCCAGAGCACTTCACAAGCAAAACCAGTTTTATGAAGACCAGTCAGCTCTTGTTGTCCAGGCTGGAGAACAGCTGCACAAAGAGATTAAATGCAGCTGAACACAGCCAAAGATTGAACACCTACAGTTACACACACACTTCAGAAGTGACCTTGTAAAACCGGATAGAAATAATGTGACCTGCCCAAAGAAACAGATGACCCCTAGAGCCTCTGTTGTGCTTCTCCTGCTCCTAATTTCTTGATTTTTCCCTACATGCGTAAATGCTCTACTTCTACACCCTTGTAGTTCTTGTGTCTCTTTGAGACCGCCAGTGCAGCTTCTGCTGCCACCATTCCTCTGTCCCCATATCAACCCGTTGTCCCAATCTGGTGTCCTTACTCAGGCAAAATGCTGCTGACATCTGTTGAAATTTGGTCTGAAAGAGTGATCGTGGCAAAAATGGCCAGTTGCAGTAAAATTCATACCAGTTGCAAAACAGCTTGCTGACCAACAGAATAGTGGTGAATTATTTAGAAGAAAAAAATAATGGAGAACAAGAGAAATTAGAGTGGGTATCTGTTGCTGTTTCCCCAGGACATATGAACATAGGAATTCTTTAACACAACTGTTTACCTAATTTGTTATCCTGCCTAGAACTGTAGGCAGTATGAAGTGCTTGTTATGAGGGTATAAGAAGCTCTGAAGCAGATATTTACAGAATAACCTTCCTGTCAGGGAAGTTTTTCTCTAATCAGACATTTTGTAGCTGTTTTATATCCTGAAGCATGGGGAAAAAATAAAGAAGGGATTGCAGCAGTAAAACAAGATTAGATTTTTGAAAGGATTGTCTCCCTTCAGATCTCAGAGTAAAAAGAACTCCCTTATTTTGGAAATAAGAAACTGCTAGGGGGAAAACAAAATGCTACAATCAAGCAGTGAACTGCTGCCATAGAAAGGGTTAAAAAAAGACAAAAGGAAGGAAATTTACAAATGCATCAGTGCTGTCGAAGTAACTTAAATGAAGTCAGCAATTGGGAGTAGGATAAAAGCAATCCACCTAATCACTGATTTTCTTCTTTAAATAACACTTTTCCAAGTAAGTTTCTCAGAGAATTAGAAAGTAACGAAAATGTTAAAATGACCGCTCAAAACAAAATATAGGACTACTTAGAGAAATTCATGTAGCGAACTCAGTAAAGCTAAACAATGGTTGTCCTATAGGGGTATAGGAATTAACTACAAATTCAAGGACTTTCCTATGGCTATTTTTGAAATATCTTGACAAACTAGGGAGGGTGCCAGAGGACTAAGGAAAAGCAAGTGCAGTACTAGTCTTTAAGTGGGGGAAGCAGGGAGGAAGTATGGATCTTGGCAATTACCACCCTTTTTAAATAACTTCTGTTCCTGGTGAAATAATAAAATAGAGGTGGGGAAAAAAATGTAAAGATGGAAAGGATAAAAGACCTATGAGCAATAAGCAGCAGTGCAGATTTATAAAGAACAAATCATGTCAGACAAACCTGATTACTTTCTCTGATTGAATTTACAAAATTAGTGGATGAAGAGAATGCCATGAACATAATATATCTGGACTTCAGCAAAGCATTTGATACAGTGCCTCATAAAATGTTACTTGAAAAAAATGAGCTAATATTGCCTTGAATATGAATGCTGCCACATGGATTAAAAAAACGGAAACACAAGAAACAAAAGGGAATGCTAGGCAAAACTGGATTGTGGGGTCACGCTTAGCTTTACTCTGATGATTGCCGGTGATCTGTAAAATGGGAAGGATTACAGGAATATGCTGAAACAGTAAGCATGAAAGAAGTACAATTCTTAAAGATGGGGAGTAAGATAAAGCACTGTCTAGCTTAGGAAATAACAAAACTAAGTTTTGATACACACAATTAGTAGAAGCGTGAGCAGTGAAACAGAGGAATGCTGGTGTCTCATTTACTCATTGCATACATCTTATAATATAAAAACAATCAAAATCAGGCTACAAAAGAGTAAGCATATGGCAAAAGCTGTGAACATACAGCTTCTATTAGCAGCTAATGATCTGTAGAGACATGGTCTGGGACTCCAAAAACGAGACCTGCCAAAGCACAAATCTTCAGAAAATCAATAAGAAACATGAGGCCTTCAATAGCGGAGACGTTACTTTCATTCGAAAGCAGGCCAGAGGTCAGATAAGCTAGTCACTGATATTTCCATAAATAAGAACTTCATAAACCAACCTGTGGTGACTGATAACATACACCCACTAAATCAAGGAACGCCTCAAGATTAGAGACTGAGGCAGGCGCAGGGGCCGATTACTGCTTAGCTGCAGAAAAGACTTCACAGACACAGACACATTTCTGCTGACAACTTCTAAAGGCCAGGCCAGGACACAGAGCAGTCGCCGAGATGACGTATTAAAATAAGGATTCGCTCTTCCTCTGGGAAAAGGCATGGTCGTTGTTTCACCTGGTACTACCACCACTCAGCTTAGCAGCTCCGCACTCGGATAGGGCAGGTAGCCGGTACGCGGGGACGGCTGTGCGCCCTCCGTGGCTGTTCGACTGCAGGCCCGGCCTTGGCCCATCTGCTCTGCCCCTCTGATGGGGGCAAACACGACTGTGCGACCACACAGTGAACTGGGCTGGGGAACTGATCTAGCTGAAAAGGAACATGCTTTTGCAGAGGTTTTCTTTCTTTTATTCTTTTTTAATTTTCTCTGCTTTTCCAGTTCCCTGAGCTGGTTCATCCTGCAGCTGGAGAAGCTCTTCCAGCTGTACAAGGATTGGCTCTGGCTTAAAGAAAGAAGAGAAACTGGGAAAGAGGATTGCCTGAAGGCATCTTGCCATTTTACATGGCACTTGGCTTCCAGAGGCTGCTCCAGAGAGGTGTGGGTCTCCCATAGGTCTTGCAGTATCTGCCTGCTGTAAGTTTTCTTGGGTACTCGCTAAATTGTAGCTACTTTTAGGCCCTTGATTTCCACTCCCGCTGGGCATTCAGTTGGAATAATGCATGAGGCCATCCTTGACCTGCTTTACCACGGAGCTTCTCTCTGGGCGACTAGTGCTTCAACCCCCTCGATTCAACCCAACCCAGAAGCGCCAGGCGCAGGTTCTCGGCGCCGCCCCTCGGTGCAGGAGACCAAGCCCTCACAGCGTGCTCTGAACCGTTTTTCAGAGCAGGCGGAAGCCCTGATCTCTCCCGGAGCGCGGGGCCGTTGCCCCCGCCGTGGCACCCCTGCTGTAGGGAAGGAGGAACCCGTTTGCCTAAGCGCTCTGGACAGGCTCTCTGCGG